ATACTTTCTTCTACTCCATACACTCTTTCCCATTCGGATAGAGTAAAATACAGCAGTAATAGATTTCTATTACTGGCCAATTTCAGCTTGACGATTCGTGGAATCATTGATTTCCGGATTCGTTCTTGCTATAAAACCAGAAAGTTAATCCATTTTCTAACCACTATCCCACCTACCTCCTTTCTATTTGTCTGTTCTTTGTTAATAACAAATAATGATTTTGTTAAATGTTAACCGTTATCTCTACATGTACAGATGTTCTCATTAATCTCTGTATGTGTAAACCCACTTGTTGTTGTTGTCGTCTTGAATCGTAACATCTTTCAATTTGGTCATCATCGCAATCTAAATTCCATCTCAGATTGCTGAATAATGATGACCATGACGACCATAACGACGTCCACTTCACGGGCAGCATACTCACATTTATGTACGTATGTATGCTCTAGACCAAAAAGCTCTCCAATCAACATATGTGCGTGTGCATACACACACATACATATGTAACAAGTAAGATCACCATCACTTACTTCCCTTAGTCTCTTCAATTAAAGCCACTTCCATTCCCCAAAAATTGCCCGCCCGCCAGCACCCTGCTGGCACTTGTGCTCTGGTCTGCCCCAAATGAAATTGGGGTGGTCAGGCATTAGGGTAAGAGGGGGGATGAACCGAAGAGCAAAACATCATACCGCGGAAAATTGCCCCGACCAAAATGATAGGTCGTTCTTGTAATGCTAAGCGGGCCACTACTCAGGTACTGGCACTGTCCCCCAAATGACATCCAAACCATGCCGAACCGTTTGACTGGTTAAATCCGGAACGTTCTATCGGCATGGGGGGTTGATCGTGCTTGAATAAGCCACAGTACCAGTTCAGTTCAGTTTAGTTCAGTATTTCAGCTGGGGACATTAATGCTTGTTCCGGATTCCTCTTCTGGTAATATATAAGCCAATTATTCAACAATTGCCATTTCGAATGTAGATTATCAGAATCGGAAAGTCAATCTTTCTTTCTTTCTCTCTCTGATCTGCACTACAGACACTCGCATTCCATCTAGAGTGCCCATGGCATATGTATATACACACACACGATGCTCGCGCATAGCGGGCGCATACACGTACGCACATATGAGTCATCGACTCTGCCAGCCTCTCTTCGTCTAGTGCTACATGCCATTGTCATTGTCTCTGTCATTGTATCATGTCGCTCTCTCCCTCCCTCCCTCCCTCCCTCTTGCTTTCTATCTAAATTGATTGTATCTGCTTGTGCCCTCTTCCTTGCTCACTAAAAACCAATTCCATAGCCAGAATGGCGCTCACGCTCTCTCGCTCTCGCTCTCGCTTCGCTCGCGCTCGCTCCCTCTCTTTCGGAGGTGGTGGGCCCATGCGGGGTGTCGGAGTCGGGGTGTGGAGTATGGCGCTTGGCAATGTGGAATGTGTAGAGGAATTCCTGGTACACGGAGCGGAAACCATTACCAACAACAATAACAATCAAACAGTTAATCCAAAAATGCGAGTGCAAATGCACTCGCAGCAACAACAACAAAAACCAACACACACAAAAACTAACCCATCAATAACAACAACTACAAAGTAGGGTATTTTTGTGAGAAGGCATTTAATAAGAGAGAGTGTAGTGTAGAGTAGAATAGAATAGGGATTACAGCTAATGCAATTTAGTGAGAGTAGAGAGGAGAGTGTGTGTGTGTGTGTGTGTAATGGCTTTGATTCGACATGATTTTGGGGGATGATTGACCCCCAGGTTGAGATTTAGATTTCTGGCCGTCATGGAGTTGATTTCTGGCCGTTGCCGAGACCAGAGGTGGAGCCGAAACGGCTCCAGTTAGAGTGTCGAGTCGAGTTGGAGTTGGAGTTGAGAGTCGTGTGTGTGTGTGTGCGTGTACGGATCGCCGTGTGTGCCGTTATAGCGGTACGGCGGTCCGCTCTATATATATATATATATATATTTTTGGAGGAAATCTGACGATCTGATGATCTGATTGAACCATCACCATCACCATCAGCAGCATCACTTGCCCGGCTGGCCACAGACTGGCCACAGACTGGACTGAACTCTCAAATTGAGGTCCTTGTCTCTTTTTTTCCCTTTTTTGCCATCGAGCGCCCGATCGATCGAACGGACGGACGGACGACGACGACGATGACGACATGGATGATCCATCGGCAGGATGGGGGCCAGGGATGGATAGATAGATGGAGCCGTTCCTCGCCAAAAGTTGGTCGGCTCACACATTGATTGATTGATTGATTGATTGATTGATTGATTGATCGCTGCCGCCGCCGCCGCCGCAGCCATCTTCTTTTTCCCCCCCACCTGCCCCCCCCCATTCCACCATGCCACCATTACCACCATCATCCCATTCCATTCCATCAGCCAATCCATCCATCCATCCATCCATATCCATCCAACCATCGATCCAACTATGCGCTGTAACAACAACAACAACAATATATCAAGTGTAAATGTACATGTATATATGCAAAAAAGAAATGAGAAAAAGAGCAAGTATGCACACTTGTGCCAAAATAAAGAGAGAGAGCAAAAAGCCAAAACCCAAAACCAAAACCAAAACCAAAATCAATCCACCACCCGCAAGTCAGCCACTTCAAACGGAAAAAAAAAAACCAAACCAAATAAATCCATCAATTCGGCAAACGAGAGTAATGGAGTTCATCGCAAAACTCAACACCACCACCATCAAGAGACGAACGAGGGTGAGACACAAGAGTCTGCCAATGACTCGTTTCAAACTGCGTGAGTACTCTAAACGGAACGAACCATACAAATTTATTTGCGGGTGGGAAGTTTTCCAAAACAGTGTAAAAAAAAAAAAATGGAGTCGCTATTAATAAACTCAGACCCAGACCCAGGCCGATCTCTAGGCCCAGTCTCAGAATTGACAGGGAAAACAGGGATGCCAGCTCCATCATCATCATCATCATCATCATCATCATCTCCTGATGAAAATCCATCGATGCAGCAGCGGCAGCAACAAAAACAACAACAGCTCAGCCACTCCACACATTCAGACATTCCACGCACTCAGCCACTCAACGCTTTGCTGCTCTATCGTCAGCGGGTACAGTCCCAGACAGGAATGCAGCTGCATAGAAATGTCGCCGTGACAACGACCCCAGCTGCAGCGGTAAATGCAGTCATTGCTGTCGTTGCACCGTTAAAAAATTCCACAGCGATCGCTGATGACGCTGACGAGGCGACGGCCATCATGGAAGTTGTTCTCACTCCTCCTCCTCCTCCTCCTCCTCCTCATCAGATTATCGCTCTCTCTTCTGTACAAAACAGTCGAGTTAGTGTGAGTGTGAGTGAGAGTGAGTCTGAGTCAGAGTCTGAGTCTGAGTTGGAGAGCATGACTAGAGAGAGCGGCGCAAAGAGAGACCGAGAGAGCGACAACGATTCCGACTCTGACTCCAACATTGAGTCAAATCGGCTTCGTCAACTCTGTACGAACCTATATGGAGATATGTGCCAGTCCCACCACCGCAGCTGGCAGCTGCGCCAGCGTCGGCAGCGACAACGACGGCAGCAGCAGAAGCAGCAGCAGCAGCAGCAGCAGCAGCAGCAGCAGCAGCAGCAGCAGCAGCAGCAGCAGCAGCATCATAGTGATGAGCAGACTAGCAGTCACACAACCACTCCCTTGAACTGGACACTACCAGCCAAAACTGCCAACATGGATGCTGATCCAGTCGCTGGTGTCCACAGTTGTGATGCTGCCGCTGGGGACGACGATGCTGCTGCCCACACTGAAGGTGCCGTCATTACGACAGCGATGGCTACAGCAACAACAACAGCAGATGGGCATGATTCGGGAGCTGTCCCCATCGACACTCGTGGTGCTGCTGCCATTGCTACAGCCATGGACGGTGACGAGGATGGCGCCAATGATGAGGATGAAGATTCAGAGGAAGGTCGATACACGCACCAAGTGCCTGAGGAACGTGGCCTGCGTGTCCTATTGCAATTCTTGGAGACAGCCAATCCAATAGATGGTGGTAGAAACAGTAACAAAACTTACTCCATTCAACAAATCAAAAAGGAGCTGTGCAACAGAGGATTCGATGTAGTATTCTCACGGCCTCACACAACAAAGACAACCACCAGCAACAACAATAACAACAATCTTGACTCCAACCTATACCACCCATTGTTGGCAACACCACTCGAAATGGTCATTTCTCCAAAACCTGACTGCTCTCACCTACGCATTCTCAAACTGACTAGGTTGGGAGAACAGCCAGTATGCATTAAGAAATATACAAAGCCACTAGAGCCGGTTCAATGCCATCGCTGCCAGCAATATGGGCATACACGCTCATATTGCGGCCGGCCATACAAATGTATGAAATGTGCCGGCAGTCATGACACGGTCCACTGCGAAAAGCCCAGATGCGTCGAGCCGACATGTGTCAATTGTGGAGGGCAACATATAGCCGCATACAGGGGCTGCCCGACCTACCAGAAGGCGAAAGAGCAGTTGTTGGACCGATTCAAGAAACAAATGGAGAACAAACAGCAGCCAATTCAACAACAACAGCAACCACAGCGTCTGCAACAGCCACTACAACAACAACAACAGCAGCAACAGCAGCAACAGCAGCAACAGCAGCAGCAGCAGCAGCAAGATGAACAGCAATTGCAAGAGGAACTGCAGCAGCAAGAAGAACAGCAGCAACACCAGCAACCATCACCATCTACTGTCACGGCATCAACATCAGCCCTTGCCCTTGCTGCTGACCCAGACTCCTCTCCATTAATGGGCCTACCTATGACTGCAACAACATCGGCACAAGCTGCCTCCATTCCAAAAATATTCCCATCAACAGCATTTCAGCCAACCCAGACACCAGTGACAGCAAGACTGCCATCCTCCTTGCTGATGACAATGGTATCATCGTCGTCGACGTCGCCATTGTCGTCATCACCATCATCACCGTCGCCGTCACCACTGCCATTGTCGCCATTGTCGCCATCGTCGCCGTGGCCGACACCGTCGCCATCGCCGTCACCACCGCCATTGTCGCCGTCGTCGCCGTGGCCGACGCCGTCGCCATCGCCGTCGCCGCCACTGTGGACATCGTCACGACAAGATGTATCCAATCCCAACTCTCCAAACAATGGGTCATGGGCCTTGGGCAATGAGGTTCTTATGGACGAAGATGCAGAATCGGACAACATTGAATACCACAGCGACCGCGAGGATGCCTACGAGGCATCACCCAGCGAAGACATGTCCATAGGCGAGGACGGCGGCGGCTATAGTGGAGACGATAGACAGGCCCCTAAAGATCACAAGGGCACCATATCACAGCTTGGAGAACTCCTATCAAAACATGAATTCTATTAACAATATAATATATAATATGTCCATATCATTTCTCCTCTATATTTTCCAATATTATCTTTTGACACAATAATTAATAAAAATAGAGATAAGAAAACAAGAACATTAGATATGAGATTATTTATATAGCCACTCCCTAGCTCATGTTTGCTGGAAATAAAGATCGTATAACGCTAATCCAAGATCAAATGTACGATCCTCACGTGCATATACGCGCAGTGGCGCCGGCAATCAGCCGTTCTACATAAGGCGATTTTGTTAATTACGAGAGCAGTCCATGGCTGGAAAATCGATGATGGATCGATACACCAATGGTCTTGCTAACACTGCCAATCCAGAGTGGGAATCGATCGAGGCCTGCAAGCTCGACTGGGAGGCGGCCCTGGGTCATGGAATGCCGATCCTGAATACACTGCCAAAATACAGCTACTCAATTTTAATAAATGGCTGTGGTTCTTGGCCGGTATCTTCGTGCAAAAGACGCTGCCAACCGGCCATGCATGCGTGGGCCAAAAGTCGACAAAGCCCAGATGACAGATCCAACTCCACAAGTCGATCTCCAGGAAGGGAGATGACAGAAAATGCCTGCGCCGTAAGGCACCTGTCCTTGGCCGGACCAGAGCCTTGGGAATGGGTACAGCCAAATCCACTAAATCACCTGAAAAAACAATAAAAAGTCATTAATTTGTCACTTACTCTAAATTCAATCAATACTCACCCAAATATATGATCCTGTACTCCTGTGGCCGGACCAGCGCCTGGGGACTCGGATTGGCCACTTCATCAGCCGCCCAGCTAACCAGCTCACCTGAAAAGAGAGAAAGAAGAAAATTAGTAAAACAATTGACTGGCAATCAATTCACAGCTAATATACTGTCCTCTTTATTATTCACACGGATGGAAGATTTGGCCAACACTGCCAATCCAGAGTGGGAATCGATCGTGGCCTGCAAGCTCGACTGGGGGGCAGCCTTGGGTCATGGAATGCCGATCCTGAATACACTGCCAAAATACAGCTACTCAATTTTAATAAAAGGCTGTGGTTCTTGGCCGGTATCTTCGTGCAAAAGACGCTGCCAACCGGCCATGCATGCGTGGGCCAAAAGTCGACAAAGCCCAGATGACAGATCCAACTCCACAAGTCGATCTCCAGGAAGGGAGATGACAGAAAATGCCTGCGCCTCAAGGCACCTGTCCTTGGCCGGACCAGAGCCTTGGGAATGGGTACAGCCAAATCCACTAAATCACCTGAAAAAACAATAAAAAGTCATTAATTTGTCATTTACTCTAAATTCAATCAATACTCACCCAAACATATGATCCTGTACTCCTGTGGCCGGACCAGCACCATGGGAATCGGATTGGCCACTTCATCAGCAGCCCAGCTAACCAGCTCATCTGAAATAAAAAGAGAAAGGGAAAATTAGTTAAACAATTGTCTGGCAATCAATTTACAGCTAATATACTGTCCTCCTTTTTATTCACACGGATTGAAGATTTGGCCAACACTGCCAATCCAGAGTGGGAATCGATTGAGGTTTGCCAGCTCGGCCGGAATGCAGACTTGAGCCTTGGAATGCCGATCTTGAATACATCGCCAACATACAGCTACTAAATTTTATAAAACGGCGGTGCTTCTTGTTCTGGTATTTTTCATGCAAAGACGCTGCCAACCGGCCATGCATGCATGCGCAGACCAAAAGTCAACAAAGCCCCAGATGATAGATCCAATTCCACAAGTCGATCTCCAGGAAGGGAGATGACAGAAAATGCCTGCGCCTCAAGGCACCTGTTCTTGGCCGGACCAGAGCCTTGGGAATGTGTACAGCCAAATCCACCAAATCACCTGAAAAAACAATAAAAAGTCATTAATTTGTCATCTACTCTAAATTCAATCAAAACTCACCCATACAAATGATCCTGTACTCCTGTGGCCGGACCAGCACCATGGGAATCGGATTGGCCACTTCATCAGCAGCCTAGCTAACCAGCTCATCTGAAATAAAAAGAGAAAGGGAAAATTAGTTAAACAATTGTCTGGCAATCAATTTACAGCTAATATACTGTCCTCCTTTTTATTCACACGGATTGAAGATTTGGCCAACACTGCCAATCCAGAGTGGGAATCGATTGAGGTTTGCCAGCTTGGCCGGAATGCAGCCTCTGGCCTTGGAATGCCGATCTTGAATACATCGCCAACATACAGCTACTAAATTTTATAAAACGGCGGTGGTTCTCGTTCTGGTATTTTTCATGCAAAGACGCTGCCAACCGGCCATGCATGCATGCGCAGACCAAAAGTTGACAAAGCCCCAGATGATAGATCCAATTCCACAAGTCGATCTCCAGGAAGGGAGATGACAGAAAATGCCTGCGCCTCAAGGCACCTGTCCTTGGCCGGACCAGAGCCTTGGGAATGGGTACAGCCAAATCCACTAAATCACCTGAAAAAACAATAAAAAGTCATTAATTTGTCATTTACTCTAAATTCAATCAATACTCACCCAAACATATGATCCTGTACTCCTGTGGCCGGACCAGCACCATGGGAATCGGATTGGCCACTTCATCAGCAGCCTAGCTAACCAGCTCATCTGAAATAAAAGGAGAAAGGGAAAATTAGTTAAACAATTGATTGGCAATCAATTTACAGCTAATATACTGTCCTCCTTTTTATTCACACGGATTGAAGATTTGACCAACACTGCCAATCCAGAGTGGGAATCGATTGAGGTTTGCCAGCTCGGCCGGAATGCAGACTTGAGCCTTGGAATGCCGATCTTGAATACATCGCCAACATACAGCTACTAAATTTTATAAAACGGCGGTGCTTCTTGTTCTGGTGTTTTTCATGCAAAGACGCTGCCAACCGGCCATGCATGCATGCGCAGACCAAAAGTTGACAAAGCCCCAGATGATAGATCCAATTCCACAAGTCGATCTCCAGGAAGGGAGATGACAGAAAATGCTCGCGCCTTAAGGCACCTGTCCTTGGCCGGACCAGAGCCTTGGGAATGTGTGCAGCCAAAATCCATCAAATCACCTGAAAAAACAATAAAAAGTCATTAATTTGACATCTACTCCAAATTCAATCAAAAACTTACCCAAACAAACGATCCTGTACTCCTGTGGCCGGACCAGCGCCATGGGAATCGGATTGGCCACTTCATCAGCAGCCCAGCTAACCAGCTCACCTGAAATAAAAAGAGAAAGGGAAAATTAGTTAAACAATTGATTGGCAATCAATTTACAGCTAATATACTGTCCTCCTTTTTATTCACACGGATTGAAGATTTGACCAACACTGCCAATCCAGAGTGGGAATCGATTGAGGTTTGCCAGCTCGGCCGGAATGCAGACTTGAGCCTTGGAATGCCGATCTTGAATACATCGCCAACATACAGCTACTAAATTTTATAAAACGGCGGTGGTTCTCGTTCTGGTATTTTTTCATGCAAAGACGCTGCCAACCGGCCATGCATGCATGCGCAGACCAAAAGTTGACAAAGCCCCAGATGATAGATCCAATTCCACAAGTCGATCTCCAGGAAGGGAGATGACTGAAGAAGCCTAAGACTCAAGGCACCTATCCTTGGCCGGACCAGAGCCTTGGGAATGTGTGCAGCCAAAATCCATCAAATCACCTGAAAAAACAATAAAAAGTCATTAATTTGACATCTACTCTAAATTCAATCAAAACTCACCCAAACAAAAGATCCTGTACTCCTGTGGCCGGACCAGCACCATGGGAATCGGATTGGCCACTTCATCAGCTGCCCAGCTAACCAGCTCACCTGAAATAAAGAGAGGAAGGGAAAATTAGTTAAACAATTGATTGGCAATCAACTTACAGCTAATATACTGTCCTCCTTTTTATTCACACGGATTGAAGATTTGACCAACACTGCCAATCCAGAGTGGGAATCGATTGAGGTTTGCCAGCTCGGCCGGAATGCAGACTTGAGCCTTGGAATGCCGATCTTGAATACATCGCCAACATACAGCTACTAAATTTTATAAAACGGCGGTGGTTCTCGTTCTGGTATTTTTTCATGCAAAGACGCTGCCAACCGGCCATGCATGCATGCGCAGACCAAAAGTTGACAAAGCCCCAGATGATAGATCCAATTCCACAAGTCGATCTCCAGGAAGGGAGATGACAGAAAATGCCTGCGCCTCAAGGCACCTGTTCTTGGCCGGACCAGAGCCTTGGGAATGTGTACAGCCAAATCCACCAAATCACCTGAAAAAACAATAAAAAGTCATTAATTTGTCATTTACTCTAAATTCAATCAATACTCACCCAAACATATGATCCTGTACTCCTGTGGCCGGACCAGCACCATGGGAATCGGATTGGCCACTTCATCAGCAGCCCAGCTAACCAGCTCATCTGAAATAAAAAGAGAAAGGGAAAATTAGTTAAACAATTGATTGGCAATCAATTTACAGCTAATATACTGTCCTCCTTTTTATTCACACGGATTGAAGATTTGGCCAACACTGCCAATCCAGAGTGGGAATCGATTGAGGTTTGCCAGCTCGGCCGGAATGCAGCCTCTGGCCTTGGAATGCCGATCTTGAATACATCGCCAACATACAGCTACTAAATTTTATAATACGGCGGTGGTTCTCGTTCTGGTATTTTTCATGCAAAGACGCTGCCAACCGGCCATGCATGCATGCGCAGACCAAAAGTTGACAAAGCCCCAGATGATAGATCCAATTCCACAAGTCGATCTCCAGGAAGGGAGATGACAGAAAATGCTCGCGCCTTAAGGCACCTGTCCTTGGCCGGACCAGAGCCTTGGGAATGTGTGCAGCCAAAATCCATCAAATCACCTGAAAAAACAATAAAAAGTCATTAATTTGACATCTACTCTAAATTCAATCAAAACTCACCCAAACAAAAGATCCTGTACTCCTGTGGCCGGACCAGCACCATGGGAATCGGATTGGCCACTTCATCAGCAGCCCAGCTAACCAGCTCATCTGAAATAAAAAGAGAAAGGGAAAATTAGTTAAACAATTGTCTGGCAATCAATTCACAGCTAATATACTGTCCTCTCCATTCTTCACATGGATTAAAGATTTGGCCAACACTGCCAATCCTGAGTGGGAATCGATTGAGGTTTGCCAGCTTGGCCGGAATGCAGCCTCGAGCCTTGGAATGC